TGGAGGGATTAGGAAAGAGAAGGAGGGAGTAGATGTGCACGGTGCAGTTGTTCTGTCTATACTTCAGCCACACCCTGTTACCCTTATCGTAAGGAGGTGGTAGCTGTGAAAAATTCAATCCAATAAGCAAAATGAGCATCGTACATAATGATATCTATCAATCGTCTGGTATTTTTAGACATACGCTTCATGATCTCTTAATAAGACTTAATTGAGAAGCTTGATATCAGTTTGTTTTCTAGGAATACAGCCAGGAGCGAGTTCAACCCTGTCTCCCAATAATTACATTCCAGCAAGTAAACTGCATTACAATTATGGTTTGACAGAAATGTAATTAAGACTGTAACGTAGTAAGAAAGGTTTGAAAAGAACCACAAAGTCCACATGGGGAGTTGGAACAGGAAGACGGAGGTACAGATACCAGCTGAACAGTCCATGTGGGACCATTATTCTTAGACTTACTGGGTTCAAACATCAAATCAATCAATCAAGTTTGATGGACACTTTGACAATGGTATGTTAGAAGCTTGGTTAAGATTAGGTTCCAAAATTTGCAAGTGTTAAGCAAAATGTCATAGTGTGGGTTAAAATACAACCCATTCACATCTAATGTATGCCTGGTTGGGTGAAAAATGCCCAGATTTGGACATTTAAAATGAAGTTAACTGGGCAAAGATATGGTGATTTTAAAAAATCATATGGTAGCAAATAAAACGTAATCTGACAGAAAGTAAGGTTCACTGAAGACATCATGAGAATGCAGTTTATCTGTAAAGCGACATACTTTTGGGAGACTGGGCTGGAAATCTAGCTTTTCTTGGCACAAACACATGCCTAACTGTGTTTTAACCATTTCTTCTCAACCAGTGAGTTTGTCAGGCAACCAGAGGCATAAAGAACAGAAGTGAATATGATGTCAGCTTGACTGATTCATCACTTGCCTCTGATTGCTCAGAACCAAACAAAAATCAAACAACCTCTTCTCCTGAGAAGAAACCAGCTCACATGAACATAAGGTCAGGCCGAATGGAGGGCGTGAAGTGGCAATTCAGTTTGTCTTAATCACCCTCTGCCTGGTGCCGACATGTTAAAAACCACAAACGTGACAGGAGTCGAGTTTCCATCCAGATGTAGCACGAATTTTAACCGAATTTTGCAAATATCAGCAAAAGGAAATGCACATTAATGTCTGCTTCATTCCACTGCAGAAGATTAAAAGTTGGTTCATTAAGAAAACCAGCTGGTGGTTGTGCAAATTCTCCAGATGTGTGCCATTAAACCACTGCAGAAGAAGAAGAGGGCGCCGCGAGGGGATGTAATTGGGAAGAATATGGCAAATGTCTTAAAAGTATTACTTGGAGTAAAATAATAGTTGCTGCGATCTGATCACATGTAATATTTTTAATGTGTTGCACCTATCAGTGTTCTCATCTAATCCTCAGGAAGAAGGTGATCATTGCACGTATTTCTCACCCCGCTGATCTGATCTGTGAGTTAAAGTCGTCTCCTCGTATCGCTGATAAACGCACTTTAAGTAAATGTGTTGCTTGGCAAAGTCTAAAAGTCACCCTGCAATATGCTGCCGGTAGACATTTTGACTTCACTTTCATTTCGCTCCTCCTCTTATCCTCCTCTCTCTCTCTCTCTCCTCTACATTTCTATTTGTCCTCTCCTCCTCCTCCTCCTCCTCTCCGTGAGTGATTCGGCACGATGCACACTGTTACACTTTCTAATTCGACCTCTGCTGTGCGGCTCCTCCTCCTACATCCATCTTTCTATCCATCCTCCCTGCCCCATGTGACTTCCTCACCCTCTGCTGTGTGACTCCATCCCTTTTTTTTTTTTCATCCTTCCACACCTCTCCCATATGACTTCCTTATGTATGCGGTTACCTCTCACACTAACACCTCTCTCTCTCCACGACTTAACAAGCACCGTTCTCTCTCTTTTGTCTCGTTTCCCCTTGTTGTTGCCTCTCCTTTCGCTCGCCCATTCCTCCTCTCGGTTACCTTGTCTGGACAGCATCTGGCAGCCTGACCCAGTGTGTGTGTGTGTGTGTGTGTGTGTGTGTGTGTGGATGTGCTCGTTGTGGACCAGGTGTCTCGGCTGTGTTGTCCTGGGTTCTTGTCATTCTGAATGGAACAGCTGCTAACCGATAACAAGTGGCTGGCTTCCCCACAGCTTTGGAGACAAATTACAAATGCAGTCACATTATTCAGTCAGGACCTTTCCGGTGTCACCCCGGGGCTCCGGCTGAAACAAAACAGCCACATGTTGGCGAATTATCACCGTCCAATCAGCACGTTTGAAAAGCAGCCTTCAGACGTACAGATGAAGAAACAGCGTTTGTTAACACTGAGTGGAGGATGTGTTTGGATAAAACGTCATCAGTTGTTCTTTACAGTCTTTTTTGCTTGAAGTAAAATAGAATTCAGCGTTGAAACTCCTCATTAACACCTTATGTGATGTTGTTTTTAAAAGCATGCACTGTAAAAACACCAACTTACGCTATTTAGCATAAAAAACAATTACAAGTTGTTAACGCTTAACGAGGGAGTCCTGATGGGTTTTATTTTTCCATCCATCCATTTTCTTCCGCTTATCCGGGGTCGGGTCGCGGGCGCAGTAGGCGGAGCAGGTCATTCCAGACTTCCCTCCCCCTGGCGATGCTTTCCAACTCTTCCTGGGGGATCCCGAGGCATTCCCAGGCCACCCGAGAGATATAATCCCTCCAGCAGGTTCTGGGTCTGCCCCGGGGTCTCCTCACAGGTGGACGTGTTCGGAAGCCTCTCTGGAGGCATCCGAATCAGATGTCCGTACCACCTCAACTGGCTCCTTTCGACGCGAAGGAGCAGCAGCTCTACTCCGAGCTCCCTCCGGATGTCCGAGCTCCTCACCCTATCTCTAAGGCTGAGCCCAGCCACCCTGCAGAGGAAGCTCATTTCGGCCACTTGTATGCTCGTTCTTTTGGTCACGACCCAAAGCTCGTGACCATAGGTGTGGGTTGGGATGTAGATGGACTGGTAAATCGACGGTCCAGTACAGCACCCGCATTACTGCTGACACCGCACCAAGCTGCCTGTCTACCTCACACTCATGAACAAGATCCTGAGATACTTAAACTCCCTCGCTTGAGGAAGGGTTTTATTTTTAATCTGTGCTTAATTACAATACAAAAACTTCTCTTAACTTGTCGTCTTTGAGTGGATCTAAGAAAACTTTCTTTTTTTTCCCCATGACTCTTTCATCCTATTTGATCCTTTAAGTTATTTAAATATACCTATACTATTAATTCCATGTATTCATCAGTTGCAAATGTCCTAAACATCAAATAGATTGTTGACTCAACTCATCAAAGCTAATTAGCTACACTTATAGGTTACTGACAAATACTACCCAGCATGCATTGCATTTAAATTCTACAGAAAACCTTCTACTTTTATAATACGAAAGTGATATAATGTCACTGTACGTATCTTTTTATACATCCAAGCCACCTCCGATCCTACCCACTTGCTGCTGTTAACTACTCTCCACGCAGTCTAATCTCATCACACTGCTAAATAGAGTGGGTTGTAGCTTGACCCTATGAGCTCTATAGTCTATTTTTCAGGATAATTTCACCACCCTTACTTTTAAGCTCTTATCTTGGCCATTAAAAAGGGATAGTCATATGCTGTATCTTGATTTTTTTTTCTCTCTCAGAACAGTCCAGGATAGTCACATCTTACATAATTTGATATGATTGTAAGAACTACTTAAAATGGTGAAATTATGATGTGTTACATGTATCAAGGAAGAGCAACGGATGTGTAAATGGATGCAGAGCTGTGTGCAGATTGTAGCCATGAATAAATGTGATGTTATTTTCAAATGTGCAACACTTCGTTGCAGAGACGAGCAGCTGGTAACATCTGTTGGGTTCTAAGGGTTGGAATAAAGGAGCTGGTTAGCTGTTAGCTCTGCAGTAACTTTAATTAATGCTGCTTTGTTAGGATAACTCAGCACCTGTGAATCAGCTCCTGTATCAGTTCCCTCTCTTTGGATTCTGTGGTTGCTGCTGTGTTTAAACTAAAAACGATGGAGGAGGTGGCAGCGGCAAATGTGAGCCATGTGAACGCACCCTAAGACTGCCAATAGCGTCGCTACTGTCAACAAATCCCAAAATCAACAATGAATTTAATCGTTTTAAGCCTGACACAGTTTATTCTTCTGTTAGATTAAATCAGTTTAAATATCAGTTTACATCTATCACTGTTCAA